ATTCCTGTTATAAATAAAAGACTGATCATTCCAGGAGAATTCAATGGATGCCTTGTAAATGGGAGGCAGGAGGAAGTGTTAAAAAGTGACTGTTGGTGGTAGCAGGCACGGTGCTGCGGGCAGATGGGTCTTTGGGATACCTTTTGGCTCCTGCGTTTCTGCTGTCGCCCCTGGACAAGGTCACAGTGTCTCCGGTTAATGTTTCTGAGCTCACCGAAGGGCTGGAAAATCTTGCAAAGGGGGACACCAACGGGGAAGTGAACTTTTCTCTTTATGTATTTATAAGGTCTTTAGGGGGCTTAAAATTCTATTTGCAAATTACTTGAGTGGGTGGGGGTTTTCCACGAGGCAGGGAGAATTCACCTGACTGTTGTTAGAAACTTCCAAGTCATGCTCTGGATGCAGTTTCCCAGTTGGGATTCCGTTGTTTCATGTTCCTCTTGTTCTCAGAAGCTGTGCAGACCTGCTTGCCCGTGTGGAGGTGATTTCCCAGCAAAGGCTTGTTTTTTTTGGCATCTGGAGAAACTGGTGCTGCTCCGCAGGTGTAGGAGGATGCAGCAGCAAGTGTTAGAGGGCTGAAACACCATGTTTCAGGACTGACCAGAGGGTTTTCCTATAATAATGGGACTTGGTTGGGCTTTTTATGTGGGCAGACCTTCTTGTACTGACTTCGGTGAATCAGCAGCTTCTGGCAGGGCTGAGGGAAAAGAGGCTTTGCCAGGTCAAATTATGGTTTTGTCTGGCCTGACTCGGCTGTGCCGCATGGCAGAGAGAGGCAGTGGTGAGTCAGGGCTGCTTGCGAGAGGATCTGCACGTACATGAGGAAGGTCTGCGGAGCAGGGGAGGAGCATCGGGGTGAGCAGAGCCTCTGCGGCACCGGGATGGCACATGGCAGGCTGGAGGGGGATGTCCCTGCCCTTCCTCAGCAGCCTGGCTTTGTTCTGCTCTGCCCTGCCAGCTCTGACAGAGCCTTCAGGTTTATTAGTGCCGAATGTGCTGAGCTGGTTGGTGTGTGCCCCTCGCACTGTTGTGTGATTTATTGGGAGTGCTTTGTCTGCTTGGGGCAGGCAGAACAAAAGCCTTGCTCTGTCCCTGCCATTGGCTGAGCCTCAGCCCCTATTTCTACAAGCACGTTTTGAGAGGTGAAGGCAGAAAGAGCAGCCTGCTGTGAATATTCCCTGTGTACCCAGGGGATGGAGGGTGAATCACTGAAGGCAGAACTAGCGATCTGCCTGTTTAGTCACCACCTTGCACCACTCCCTTACCAGAGGCTTTGAGAACGCCAGGATTCTGGCCTGGGCAGGTCCAAAAGACAAAGAGCTTTTAGCTGCCACTGCTACTTGAGAAGGGACTTATTTCAGTGTGCAATTAGATATGCCCAGGGACATTGGCAGTGCTGGGAAATAAGCATCCTCCCATCCCAGTGGGCAGTTCAGCTTCCTCTAGGGGTTACAGACTGTTGCTGCTGTTGTGGGGATCCTCTAGTTCTGTAGAGCAAAGCAGCTTGAGTTGTGAGTTTTTTTCAATCCAAACTTCGAAAAAATAGCCAGTTTTAAACTTCGTGGTGATTTTTTTGCTGCTCTGGGTGAGGGGGAGTATAGGGGGCAGGGGACGCCCACAGTCTCTTCAGTCAGAGAGGGATCTTGAGTGTATTAAAGAAAATCTTCAGCCTTTTACATGTTCTCTGCCAAGGTGTTGTGTTTAATCAATGCAAGTCTGCTTGCTTGTACAGGCTTAAAGGCTGGGGTTTAGGCTTAGGTGGACTTTGCCATGATGTAGGTGCTTCTGGGCAGAAGGTTGCCCGTGTAAGTGCGTTCCGCCAGCGCCGAGTGCCCCGGGCGCGATGGGAAGCACAGTCGAGGCCTATAGGAGAAATGACTGGAGAGCTGGGAGGGAGGAGGCAGGATCTCTGCCTGCACACTCAAGTGCTTGAATTTTGTTGCGTTGTGTAGCTCCAAGGGAAGACTGGCAATGAAGAGAAGCTATGAAGGGAACATCTGCATAGAAGGCAGGTGAGCTTTGGGTGGTCTCCATGGGGGATGACATGGAAATAGAAATGTGTCTTGCCTGTTAAGACTCTCAAGTAGGAACATAAAGATAGTTTGATCCAATAGCAGCTTTCTTGTTACCTCCATATTCATCACGTGGGTGTGTTGGTGTCTCTGCTTGCTGGGCAGGTCTGGGTGATTCCCAAACCTGGCACCGCTTTCTTCTCTTCCAGACACAGGAATCGAGCAACCATGTCGAAGCACCATGATGCAGGGACTGCTTTCATCCAGACTCAGCAGCTGCACGCTGCCATGGCAGACACCTTCCTGGAGCACATGTGCCGTTTGGACATCGACTCAGAGCCAACCATTGCGAGGAACACCGGCATCATCTGCACCATTGGTAGGTGATTCCTGGATAGGAGAGAATTGCTGCTGAGAGCTCACACCGTGGTGAAACTGGCTAGGGAAATTGTGAGAGGGATCCAGCTTTGATCTCTTGCCAGGCCTGAACTTGTGTGGCGAAGGAACATGACTTTCCCATGTTTGCCTAACCTGTGTTACTGCTGGGAGTGGATCCAGTACCCAGGGAAATCGGAACTGCCTGGGTTCTGCCGCTCTCCACAGGGCGAGTTAGAACAACCTTCGCTGCTGCAGCGCAGAGCGAGTCTGTATCCATTTACCTTTACCACATGAAACAGCCCTGGTGTGTGTGGGTAACCTCATTATTTTTGCAAAGTTAATGCTCAAACTGTTGCTTCCTCCTAGGCCCAGCCTCCCGCTCTGTGGACAAGCTGAAGGAAATGATTAAATCTGGAATGAATGTTGCCCGCCTCAACTTCTCTCACGGAACCCATGAGGTAAGGGTGGAGTCTCAGCTGGCACAGCCCTGACCCGGTTGCTCATGAAACTTCATCCAGACCAGCCTTGTTGTGGGAAGGTGAAATAACTGCTTTTGGGGAAAGCATGCTGAGTGTACATACTGAACCTGTGTAATTGCTGATGACATTTAAGTGTGTTTTCTGGGCCGTTTTGAAAGCAGTTTGAGTTGGTTCCACACCCTTCCCTGTACCATGGAGCCAGGTAACTGTGCCAACTGCTTGCTGTGAAACCCTTCAGTTCTTCCTCACATCCTGCTGTTCATGCACAAAGCTGCTGCTTCTCAGTCACCAGTTGAAGCTGAGAACACATGTCCCCGTTCAACTGCACACCTCTGCAGGAGGTCACACTATCAGTTGTTCATCTCGCTCCTTGTTTCATAGCTGGTGGTTTTGCAAGCAGGCCATCAATGAGTAACCCTATCTCAAAAGGGAACTGTTAGTGATTTGATGTAATTACTGTGCCCAGTTGGAAGAATGGACTCCTGGGTCTGGCTAACCAGCTGCTCCTGTTGTATTCCTGGCCATCAGGAGGGTTGCACTGTGGTGCTTGGGAGGTGGTGGAAGAGACAGAAGAATAAGGTCAAAAGAAATCAACACTCTCCATGACACACAAGCCCTTATTACTATAAATAGTTGAGGTCCTCAGCGGTACTGGAGGAGCTGAGGATCCCATTCCAGGTTGCCCAAGCCTTTCCACTGAATTTTTTTTTTAACCCTGGCTGGTTTCCAGCTTTCAAAATGTCACCCAGTAGCCAGTACCAGCTGTAGGTGCTTTACTTACTGACCCATGAGCCTTATGGTGTGTAACAGCTTGGCCTCTCACCCTTGTGGCCTTTAAAGGGCACAGCAGGGCACTGTCAAAATATAAAGGTCTGATGCTTAACTGTGGGCAACCACCAGACCTTGACTAAAGACCCTGGGATACTGGCTTTGCCTGGCCTGCAGTTGGGAATTTTGCCTGAAGAATGGGTTGTGTGGGGTAACTCTGCCTCCTGGTAGTCAAATTCTGCAGCTGGGTGAGTTGTGTCTGCTTATGTGTCAGGGAGTTGGTGGCCAAACTGAAACTGGGGATTTTCACACTGTTACTGCCCAGCGGAACTGCTGCAGCCCGCGTACTTGTTGGCTGAGGTTGAGGACAGGGAATGTGGCTTTCTGCTTTGGGTGAGGTCTAATTGCACATTGCACACAGATGAGGTTGGGTTACTGCAGACTGGTCTGGCTGTTATCTGCAGACTGTGACTGTCAGCTGTAGCCAGGCCTAGGTTTGTGTCCCCTTCTGGTTCCTCCAGACAGCTCCAGATTCCAGTGAAGCCCCAAAGAGTTGGTCAGTCACGAGCGTGTCAGGTCTTGTGTCCACCCTAAAGCATTTTAACAATGCTTCAGCTTTAGCAGAAGTGCTTTGTTGCCTGCCTGCCACCCTTTTACATGGATTAAAAATGGCTTGCTCTTCCAGCTCTGCCTGCATTCCTGTTCTGAATACCTAACTCTTCAGGAAGTCAGGCTCCCTTGGAGCCAGTTAGTCCTTGATATCTGGTCACAGTCATCTAGAATTTTTCCATTTTAGTTTGATAAGTGTGGTGGCACTGTTCAGGCGTGTTTTGCATGCTTCATTCACCCAGGGGTGCAATGCCTGGAAGGGTCAGGGCTGTCTCAGTCCCAACTTGCACACTCAGACAATAAACTAAATTGTTTCCCTGCTATAAAGAGTTATCAGCTGTGGGGTATCTCTGGCCAAGGCTGTGCATGTGAACTTCAGCACAGCTTTTTCCGGCCTCACCTTCCTGGTGCTGACTTATCGACCCTGAGACACTCAGGTTGGTGTGCAGGGCTCGTGTTGGGGTGGGTGAGTGGCACGAGGGAGCCAGGTGTTCCGGGTGAGTCAGGTCAGACTGTCAGCCCATGTGGCAGAGAGGGGAAAGGGTATTTCTTATCTACAAAAGTCTGTCAAGTGTTGCACAACTCTAGGTAAGGTTATCTCTTAATGTTGTTTAAACAATGTTAAGTAAATTGATCTGCTGGCTATCCAAAGCGTGTTTGAGGGAGCTGGGATGGGAGTTTTCCCACAAAACTGTCCTGGAACTGGCAACATTAGCAAAATGCTCTCGTACACATGCAGGTTTGGAAGCCAGGTGTGTGGTATATTGAACTCCTGTCTGTGATTGCTTTGGCTCTTGGAATAAAATGTAAATATTTACATGGATAACAGTCTCTTAGCAAATCCTTTATCTTTAGGGGAAATTTAAGCCAAAGAGTTAGCAAAAAAAGCTTGTCCATCTGTTCCTTTGTGGGGCAGATGATCAGTCGGGCTGGAATTGTGAGGGGCAACGCAGGGAACGGCATCTTCCCTTCCATGCCCTGGAGGGAGAAGGAGCACAGCCCTGTGTGACACTGGCTTAGCTGTGACATTCTTCTGGCATCCAGGTGTCTTTCCATGCACATAATTATCCAGATGCTGGTGCTGCCAGTGTTCTGCCAGGCTGAAGGGGCAGACATTCAGCAAAGCTTTTGGAAATGTGGCCTGGTGGTTGGTGAGCCACCTTCAGTTGGCAAGTGTGTGTCCTGATGGAAAATCACTTCAGCCTGGTGCCTGGGCTGTCTCCTTGAGTTGTCCTCCTGGAATTAGAACTGAGGGCACTAAGGGCACAGCCAGATCACTTCCAGACTCCACCTTCATGGCTGGAAGGCCTTTGTATCCCCACACTTTACTTTATTGGAAGCTCAGTCTGGATTAAAATCTCAAGCTGGAACTGAAACTGAGCATAATGTGAGAGCAGAGCTGTCAGCTCAGGCAACATTTGGGGTGTCCAGGGATCTTTTCCATAAGCAGTGGAGTAGAAGTGGCCTGAACATTTCCATCTCTTTCTTTTTTTCCTTGCCAGTATCATGAGGGCACAATCAAGAACGTGCGAGAAGCTACAGAGAGCTTTGCCTCTGATCCCATCACCTACAGACCTGTGGCTATTGCACTGGACACCAAGGGACCTGAAATCCGAACTGGACTCATTAAGGGAGTAAGTGGCTCTTTTCTTTACCACAGTTTTCACCTTATCAGGCTACTTGTCATGTTAAGCTTGTGGTCTTTTACAAACAAAAAATATCCTAGGGCACAAGGTAACAAACCACCTACCAAAAGTTTGGATGAAGTGCTGCAGGCTGGGAGGTAGTTGTGTGCTGGTTGTTACTGGTTTTGCTGACACACATTTTGACACACAGAGTGGCACAGCAGAAGTGGAGCTGAAGAAAGGTGCAGCACTCAAAGTGACCCTGGACGATGCCTTCATGGAGAACTGCGACGAGAGCACACTGTGGGTGGACTACAAGAATCTCATCAAGGTTGTAGACATCGGCAGCAAAATCTATGTGGATGATGGTCTGATTTCCTTGCTGGTTAAGGAGAAAGGTGAGTAACAGCCATTCCAGCTATGCATGTTTGTTTTTCCCTTGGAATATTTGTGCTTTCTCTCCAGTAACTTTTTTAGCTTGTAGTTGTGTATTAAAAAAAGGAGGACATGATGCTGTAGTGAAACTGAGCAAAATTTTTTCAACTTCAGGTGCAGGAACTTTTAAAAAAAACTACCTTCAACTAGGTTTTACTGGTCTGGGATCTAAATCCCTCTTCAGAGGGGAGTGTGTGGTAGGGCCATACCAGTGCTCATGATCAAAACCTGTTCAGCCAGGCTAAGTCATGCAGGATTTAACTAGTTTTACAGCAGAGACCTTGGGTTTTGTGGTTGGAGACAACTAGTTTTAACTGGTAATGTGGGGGTGAAGTTAGTTCCACAATACTCCATTGATAGTGCTGTCTAAACTGCTCTAGCCTCAAGGTGTGTGGCCTGGAATCCCTGAGTGTGTAGGGAGATGGAGGTGAGATTTTTGGGGTGCTCAGTTTGGTGTTGCAGGGCTCCTGTGTGCAGAAGTGCTTTTTTTCTGGGGAGCAGTCCCAGCCTCCTGCATGGAACAATCGCTATCTTATCCAAGAACAGCACAGATTGTTTCAAACGAATCTGTTGTGTTCCCAAGGGTGAATTGCAAACTTGTGCGGTACATAAAATCTCTGAAGATACCAGTGATGTGCTTTTTATCATGTGCATTGCTGTTGGCACTGCTGTTCCCAGACAGGGAGGTGGTGTGGGAGCTGGCAGGGAAAGCTTTCTGGTAAACACTGACCGTGGGAACACATCTGTTTCAGGCAAGGACTATGTCATGACGGAGATCGAGAACGGTGGCATGCTCGGCAGCAAGAAGGGAGTGAACCTGCCCGGTGCCGCAGTCGACCTGCCCGCGGTCTCTGAAAAAGACATCCAGGACCTCAAATTCGGTGTGGAGCAGAATGTAGATATGGTGTTTGCTTCCTTCATCCGCAAAGCTGCTGATGTCCACGCTGTCAGGAAGGTGCTGGGGGAAAAGGGAAAGAACATCAAGATCATCAGCAAGATTGAGAACCATGAGGGTGTGCGCAGGTGAGCTTTGTGCAGGGCACACGTGAGGTGTGTCAGGCTGAAATAAATCAGCTCATGCTCGCTTCAGTCTGTTGGTAGACTTGGAGAGCTTTGTGTAGCACTGAATATATGCTGTGCCTTGGTCCTGGTTTTCTTCCTCCTTCCTTGGCATTACAGGATACCCAAACGGCCTGGGGAAAGCTCCAGAGAGTCGCTCACTTTCGGAGGCAGAGGACAGAGCAGATGGGAAGGTGCTTTGCAGAACAAATGGGATAACAAAGCTCTTCTCTCACTGTCAGGTTTGATGAGATCATGGAGGCCAGCGATGGCATTATGGTGGCCCGTGGTGACCTGGGAATCGAGATTCCGGCTGAAAAGGTCTTCCTGGCCCAGAAGATGATGATTGGGCGCTGCAACAGGGCTGGCAAACCCATCATCTGTGCCACTCAGGTACTGTTGGCTGCTCACTGCTGTACACGTGTGAATGTTGGTAGCTGTCATGGCTTGATGGTGTGGTTAGAGAGCACTTCTGCACACAGGAACATATCAAGAACAAAGAGGTTTTGCTCATAGCTAAGAGCTCATAATGAGGCACTTCTATGTTTGGGATCTCCCCCACTAAGGTTATGGGACCTCTTGGGTGGCTGTTGAAGGTTTTATACCTCAAAGCTGGGTGGTAATGAGCCTTTTAGGCTGACTAAGCAAATTCTGGGGAAAAAGGCACATGCTTTGCCTTGGCATCTTGTAGCAGCACATCTGTGCCTGACACAGAACATTTGCTGAGCTTCCCAGGTGCCTTACAAGATGTCACAAGATCATTGCAGGTAGGGGTTGAACTAGATGACCTTTATAGGTCCCTTCCAACCCAAACTGTTATATGATTCTGTGTTCCACACTGCAGCATCAGAAGTTCCTGAGGAAAAGATCCATCTCCTTATTCTGGGAACAGTAGGTATCATGTGCAGGCAGTCCTTAGGCACTGGAAGGACTGGTTTCCTGGTTGTGCTTTGCTCTGCATCCAGGCTGTGGGAGTTAAAACTCTCTAGACAGTAGAGATCAGACAAAGTTCTGGATTTACAGTGGCATACACTCCTTTTCCCTGTATTGCTATGGAAATGCAGCTGGAATGCCTCATCAGGCAGTGTCCCATAGGAAATGAGTGGTATTTGCCTAGGGGTGAGCTGCAGCTGGGAGGAAGCTGAGCACCTGAGGAAAATGAGAGAGCTGGCTGGGTTTGGGTGTGTGGAAAAGGGTTAGGAAGAGCTAACCTCATGGAAAGCTGTCCTGTTTTCTGCTCTTGAGAGAGATGCTTAGGAAGCTGGTGGAGTTGGCTGTTTTGAGTTTTACTACCCTGTACATATTATCTAAAGTATTTGCAATCTTGCGTGATGACTTTGGTGCAGACCTTGCTGTTTATGAGTTCCAAATGGAAAAAAAACCACAACCAAGCTTGGGAACATAGGACTGGATTTCAGCTTTCCATAAATATGCCTAATGCCATACCCTGCTCTAAAGAACTCAGAGTTCCTTGGACCAAGCCCTGTGCTGAAAAGCTTAATTGGAAAGTTTGAGTATTGTCTGGAAAAGGAGTAAATGTGGAACGGGTATGAAATGGAATGTGTTGTTTTCCTTACTGCTAGAGGCTTTTAAATCAAAGCTGGTTAGGGACCAGGCCCAACTCTGTCCTGTACCCATAGGAAAACTGATCTTCTGGAGTCCATAGGCTGCATCTTCCCTCTGCCCAAGTGATAAAGAGTACTGAAGTGCATTAACACAGAAGCAGCTGCTTGTTTTGACAGTGTCTTGATGCCTTGGGATTTGTTCTCTTCCAGATGCTGGAAAGCATGATCAAGAAGCCTCGCCCAACCCGTGCCGAGGGCAGCGATGTGGCTAATGCCGTCCTGGACGGAGCAGATTGCATCATGCTGTCTGGAGAGACAGCCAAGGGAGACTACCCTCTGGAGGCTGTGCGCATGCAGCACGCTGTGAGTACTGCCCTCATGCCACTGTCCCCCCACAGGGGACCGTGGCAGCACTTGGTGCCCTGCATCTGCCACCTGAGCCAGGCACCGGAAGACCTAAGTGTGCCTGGTGCTAGGTGGCAGCACCTGGCCATCCAAAATTGTCATTTCTTTGCTCACACTCTGCTGTGAGTGGGGTTTTTTTTGACTAAACATGGTCCTGAGGGCCTGACATCTCACTGTGAGCTCCAAATTGTTGGTCAGAGCTTTAGAGCTGCTCTGTAATGCTCTGAGATAGAAAACTTCTGATTTCTCACATGATTTTTTGTTTAGGGCATGGTAAAGGGTTTTTTGCCATTACCTTAATAGAAATTTCATTCAATGTCCTCTTGCAGTGGCATCTTAAATGCCTTAAACTTCTGCAAGGTCAAGGAGCTGCTTAAGCAGTTTATCCCTAGATAATGAAAGGTCTTGGCTGACTCCTGCGTGGGAGGGTGTGGGGGAGGCTCATGAGGCTGATTTACAGTACTGTTGCATTCAGCACCTGGTGTGTGCTCAGTGTTGGGGGGGTTTGTTGCATGAGTACTGACAGCACCATATTTTTACATGCCTGAACTGCCAGAAACCTCTGCTCTGCTTCGAGTTTGCCCAGCTCGCATTTCAGCTGATAAAAGCCTGATGTCAAGTACCTACAAGCGTTGCTGCTTCCCAGTTACCAGTGCTGTGTATCACAGCAGTAATAACTCTCACCAGTCCTAACTTTCACCAGTTTTATTTGCAATTCAGGTTTCAGAGATTAATCAACTCAGCCAGTGTTGGTTTGCAGTGTGTTACCTAACTGTCTTTTATCTCGATATGGAGTGGTTTTTTGCATGAGGCAAATGCAGAATGAGTTGATGATCACCGGGCAGTGACTGCTCCTTCACAGGCCGAATGCTAACAGTGCACCTAAAAGCTTCTCCCTCCTTTTCCAACCTCTTAATCACAAGGGCTGACTTCCTACCAGGAGTTGGCAACTTGCTGCAGCAAACCTGACGCTTGGGTGTCTATCCTGGCACTAATTCTTTGACTTGGGCCAGAGATATTGTACCCGTAGCCTGAGTTCTGGATCTGTTGCACGTGGTTTCCTCTTCCTGCAGGCCTGGGATAGTGGTGTCACTCCACCAGGCCCCTGGGGAAACACTGAAGGCTTTTAACCCTCTGTGCAGGAAATGAAATACAGATTTGCTTTATTGAATGCAAGATGTTGCAGGCAGCAAGGTACCAGCTCTGATGGTAGGAGCATGTCCAGAACAGTCAGGATCCTTCCTCTGAGCTAATTCACTTGTGTAAGTTGAGCCTAGCAGTAGTGCCCTGAGTAACCACCATTTGGAGATCTGCAGCATGGCCAGAGTGGATGAAGCAGATGCCTCATCTGAAATGGGTAGTAGCAAGCTTCCAAATACTGGGCAGGCTGATTCCTGCTTGTGGGAGGAGGCTTCCTTCCCATTCCAGTCCATGTTCCATACTTGTGGCCACCCTGGCCATGCTGGTCTGATGGGACCAAGATTTAAATAGTATGCTTTGTTTTCCTTTCTCCCTCCTTCCCTGGATTCTCCACCCATGTGCCAACTGGAAACCCTCTATAGCCATTCCAGAGCCGATACAGTTGTGGTGTGGAGTTACGGATTGCTGTGTTCCTCTGCAGCCACTGACAAAGAATTCATGTGTATTCACATGCTGCATTACACCTGGGGAATTCAGGCTTCCCTCTAAACCTGGTTTGCTCTCCGTGTGTGAGGCGGCACTGCTGCCTTTGTATCATGAGCTGAAAATAAGCTGCCTGGCTCCCACCTCCTGTGTTCGGAGTGTTTTGAGGCAAATGTTCCCATTTTATCTAACAGCGAGCAGAAAGCCAACAGTAACAAAATACTTCAGGACCAGAGCTGGCACTGGGCTGCTGTTCCGGCCTGCCCCATGTGTCCTGCTATTTTTAGACATAAGATACTTAACTACTTTGGCTTAAACTGATATCTGTGGAAGGGATAATTCCCAGCATCACAAAATAAATTATTAACACTAGAGCAGGAAAATGCTGATTTTTCTAACTCCAAAGCTTTCACTACAGCAGCACAAGTCTCTATTTATAAACATGAACTTGTGATGCGTTGTGTAGTGGCTGCTCAGTTTTTGCAGTAACTGGATGAAGTTGTCCTTGAGAAGATGATCAGCCCTTGCATGCTTTTCTAGTCTCTGCAAGCCTTCTTTATTGGGTCGTCAGGGGCTAATGCAGCCTTGAGAGATGAGAGTTGTCTTTAAACACCAAGTGATTCTCAGGATGCTGAGATGAACAGGTTACTGAACCTGTTGCAAATGCTCAGCTGGAACAGAAGGCCCTTAGTTGTGCCTCTGTCCCTCTTGTCTGTCTATATCTGGCACTGTACAAACACCCCAAGATCCACATTATGACAGCCCTATAAGGAAGACTTGTTCTCTTTGTTTCCGGATTACCAAAGGTGAAATTGGTGTCCCACTTGGAGGTGAAACTTTATTGGCTCTCAAGTTGAACTAAATCTTTATTGTCTCTCAGCTTAAACCAAATCTTTATTGACTTTCAGTTTAAACTAAGTCTTTATTGACATTCAAGTTAAACTAAATCTAACAAAGCTGAGAGAAAGTCTCCCACCTTCTGGGCTGATGTTCAAAGTTCATTGCTTGCACATTGGCTCCGTGAAGACTTAAAGCAGCACTGTGTGGTGTTGGGAGAGTATAAAAGGAAGCCACAGACATCTCTTTAGGGACTGCAGGCAGGACCATGGGCAGGCTGTGAGGTGGCATGAGAGTCTCAAGGAAGTCATAAGCAACTGTGGCAAAGTGTGGTCTGACTGACCTGGCTTGCTGTGGTCCTTGAAAAGCAATTTGTGTTCCTCTGCTCTGATGGGACTCCAAAATACAGCAAGAATGCCACCTTTGGAGCACCTTCCCAGTGACTGTGACCTGCCAGTTAAATGGCATGGTGGATGCAAGCCTGGGTTGTGTTCAGCAAGCTCACAGCCTGAGAGCCAAAAGAGTTTCACAGCCTGACCTTTAATATCCTCTTGCATGCATTACTATGACAATTAAGCAAATTAACGTGATCTCATGTTCCTCTGGTCTATCTTTCCTTTTCTTTCCTCTGTTCTCCTCCTTCCCTCTCACTCGGGCCTGCAGATCGCTCGTGAGGCTGAGGCCGCAATGTTCCATCGTCCGCTGTTCGAGGAGATTTTACGCCTCAATGTTCAGAACAGGGAGCCTGCCGATGCCATGGCAGCGGGCGCGGTGGAGGCCTCTTTTAAGTGCTTAGCTGCAGCCCTGATAGTCCTGACCGAGTCCGGCAGGTAGGGCTCGGAGAGGGCTCGGTGCCCTGAGCAAAAACACGCTGCGTTCTAACACTGCGAGGGCTGAGCGAGCAGCTCGCTGTCCCGTCGGCCTGACGTAACCACTGTGGGCTGAGCCGACTCTGTGTGGCAGGGAGACTTTCCAGCAGGCAGGAGCAGAGTGAGAGTGTCTGGCAGTTGGCATGAGTGTCATCTGAGTGTGGGCTTGGCAGGGCGAGGTGACTCGGTAGGTGCCACCAATTCAGAAAAGGAGCCCTGGGAGTCGAGTGGCTCCTGTAGAAGGACGTGCTGAGCGTTACAGCAGTCACCCCGGCGCGTGGAGCTGTCTGGGCTCACTAATTGGTAACAGTGTCCAAACCTGCCAGCACTGATGTGGCACCTCCCCCTGCCCTGCCCTGTGCGAGTGACGTGAGTGTTGTCTCCCGCACGCGTGTTGCTCTTGTAGATTGCCCGGGAGGCCGAAGCCGCCATCTTTCACAGGCAGCTGTTCGAGGAGCTGCGGCGCCTGACTCCCCTGAACTGCGACCCCACCGAGGCCGCCGCTGTTGGCGCGGTGGAAGCGTCCTTCAAGTGCTGCAGCGGGGCCATTATTGTCCTCACCAAGTCTGGAAGGTAGGGGGGGACAGCTTCCCTCAGGTCAAGCCCACTGCCTGACGGGGTGGGGGAAGGAGACTCCCAAAATCACGGCATTGAGAGACCGGTGGAGCCTGGGGCCTGGCGGCGACTGGGAGCCCAGGGCACCTGCCTGCAGTGCTGGTTCCTCGGGAGACGGATGCACACCTGTGAGCTGAGTTCCTCGGCCTGACTCTGCCAGCGTGGCCCCAGCTCCAAGCCCTGCCTCTGCTCACTGCCAGCAGTGCTGGCTGGAAGAGTCACCAGGGGAAATAAGTGTTGCAGCTTCAATTCAAACCTCTTGTCGAGAAATGGTCAGCGTAACAGTGAGACAGAAATTCAGTGGATGCAGAACCTATTTTATATCTGTTTCTTTTTTAAGTCAAGGCCTTGGCCTTTCATAGTAGCATCCAAATTAGTGGTCCCTTGCTGAACTTTGCAGGCATCAGCTCTGCTTGCCTGAGCCCAAGGGGCGAAGAGGGACTGTGAAGCTTAGGAAATGGAAAGCATTGGAAATTTCTTCCTAGAGGCTTCCTGCACAGGCAGGCATCCAGCTGAGCTCAGGGGCTGCAGGTGAGATGTGCTGGAATGATGTAGTTTGGGATTTCTGTCCAGCGACGGTGACAGCTGCAAGCAGAGACTTTTCTTCCAGTTGTGGAAAGGGAGCTGGATCCTGGCGAATCAGCTCTTCCATGTAGAGGAGCCTGGCTGCCTGCTCCCAAAGCACATCCGACCATAAGTCTCAGACTGCTTTCTGGAGGAAAATCAGAATTTCTCCCACTGGATTTGAACCAAAGCAGTAGTGCAGCAGCAGAGATGTGATTATGTGTGCTGGGCATGATTTACCCGAAGATCTGGACCATCAGTGAATCCTTCACCTCCATTTACAGTTTAGAATCATTCTGAGCGGCCACTTTCTGCAGAGATGAGGAGGGACTGTAAGCACCAAGTTACGGATACCCTGGTGCTTCTAATGTTTCTTTGTCAAAGGTTCTAGCCTTACGCTTGACCTTTTAAAAGAGATTCGAACTCTGATATTTGAATATTTTTAGCTGTGGATTCAGTTAACCCTTTGAGTACCTGGATCTCCTCAAGCTCCCGGGAGGCAACTCGGACAGCATGGGAAGGATTGTCTGAGAACTGGCACGTGTGGTTGGGTGCTTGGAGCAGAGTGGTGCTGAGCCTGCTTTAAGCAGCAAACTTTGCATCTGAGTGTTGCTGAGCTTGGCTCCACTAAACAAGGCTGCAAAAGCAAGTGGAGACATTGGCATGCCCGTTGGAAAGATGAAGCCTGTGGGTGCCATGGCCTTGCAGCTTGAGTCTTTTGTCTGTTTGCAGATGCTCTCTCTAAGCAGTGCCCAGGGAAAAGCAAGCTGTAATCTCCTCCCGGGGCTAAGCAGTGCCCAGGGAAAAGCAAGCTCTAATCTCCTCCCAGGCTGTGCTGCTGCTATTTTAAGACATTTTAAAGTTTTTTAAGGACTCCGTGCCCACTTTCCCAGCATAAATTTTGGCCTCAGTTTCTTTTGCTCCCTGTTGTGTGCTGGAGCAGAGCTCTGTGTGGAGGAACCAGCCTGTTTGCTGTCTCCAGCAGGTGAACGTGGCTGGGAGGCAGATGATTCCCTCCTTGGCAAGCTTTGGGTAGCACCGCTGGCGCTGCCTCTTTCCATTCCGTAAACTGGGAGCTCCTCAAAACGGAGGGAACTTGCAGGGACCCCCGTGGAGATGCCAAGGCCTGCTTGCAGAGGCCAGAATAAATGGCACCTTGCCACCTTAACATAGCAACAGAGACAAATAGAGGCTTGTTTGGGGACCAGAACACCCCAATGCCACTTTAGCTAAACTGAGAGGCGAGGGAATTGTCACCGCCAGTGGGGACTGCCACTAAGGGACAGCCTGTGGTGGCTCACCCCGTGGCCTGACTAGGAATTCAGCACAGCATCAAGCTGGTTCGTGTGTGGCTCTTGCCAACATCTCCTGTGCTCATCTCTCGTGTCCCTGCAGGGGTTTTGGGAAGCTCTCACGGGTGAAAGGCAAACTTTGCCCTGCTCATGCTGCCACAGGCTTCATTTCGGGTGCTGTACTGGGGTGGTGTCTCACTGTGTGCCTGGTGTCCCTGCAGGTCAGCACACCTGGTGTCGCGGTACCGCCCGCGCGCGCCCATCATCGCCATCACCCGCAATGACCAGACGGCGCGTCAGGCCCACCTGTACCGCGGCATCTTCCCCGTGCTCTGCAAAGAGCCTGCCCACGACGCCTGGGCTGAGGACGTCGACCTCCGCGTCAACCTGGGCATGAATGTCGGTGAGTGATGCTGCTCCCGCTCGCCCGGCGTGGCCTGCTGGGGTGTGCTGGCCATGGGCACCTTGGCCATGGTTTTGGGTAACCAGAGGGGACCGGAGAGGAACTGTGTGGTAACTGTCCCTGATTGGGAAATGGGAGGTGGTTATGTTTGCACAACCACATCTGATTAGGAAATGGAATGGTGCATTTGTCACAGCTGCCTTGAAATAGGTTCCAGCAGAAAACTAGGCTGGTTTTAATGTGGTGAGTGATTGAAAAGTGATGCTCATCACTCCTGAGAGACAGGGGTAGCCTGGAGTGGGGTAGCTGCCCCCTGGCCCCTCTGCAGATCCTGTGCGGTGAAAATGAAGGGTCCATGTTGCAGAGGAGCCCAGAGCAGAGGTGAAGGATCTCAGATGGGTGGGCAGCAGGAAGATGGGGTCATGATAGCCACCTGAAGCAGGGGCTGCCATGGGTCGTCGGGCAACTTCGGTGGCTCAGGGAGCGGGTGACAAACACCACGGCTAAGTGGGCAGGGGTGTGGCAACTGATCTGACACCTCCCTTTTCTCCCCAGGCAAGGCACGTGGGTTCTTCAAGAGCGGCGACCTGGTGATCGTGCTGACGGGCTGGCGCCCTGGCTCCGGCTACACCAACACCATGCGCGTGGTGCCCGTTCCCTGAGCCCACCCTGCCCCCACCCCTGCCCCCCCGCGTTAGACCAGCCATCGCTTGCGCTGTTCTCCTTGTCCCTAGAGTGGATGTAGGTTGCTAAACACCACCCAGTGCAGCAGCAGCAGGGGCAAGAGACATTAAATCACTAAAAAAAAGTTATACTTGAAGTGTTTAGTTTTATAAAAAACTTCTCCTTGTAGTGAAGTCCTGCCTTGATGTGTGTTGGAGTCGGCGTAGGAGGTTCCTGTGTGTTGCCAGGACTCTGCTTTGCCTGGTGATTGTCCTCAGGGTGTGAGCTGTCTCTTTCCCCAGCCCCGGTGTGGGGTGTTGGGGAAGGGGAGAGGCGATGTGTGGTCAACGGTTCCGCTGTACCCCTCCTCGCTCGAGGCAAGCTGCTACTCACGCCCTCCCATGTGGCCACACACCTCCCCAGACCAAATCCACGGTGACTCTAGCCCCCTCTCAGCTGGTTATTTTGGGGTGGGGGTAGAAGAAGGGTGTTGGCTCCATGTGAAGAGCTTTCTGTGCTCCCCTTGCAGCGTTGTCTCCTGTGTTAGTCGTTTCCCCCACCACCCCAGAGCCTTCCCCTCACCCAGCACTCCAATGGGCCCTGGGGTGGGAGAGCACAACTGTTCATCAATAAAGAGAAGTTGAAGCACCTGCTGGCCTGATCTGCTCCTTGGGGGATTTAGGGGATCTGGCTAAGGGGTCTGCAGGACTGGGGGCCCAGGGGAAGGGTCTGCAGAGGATTGGGGGGTCTGATGGAGGAGTTGCACCTCCTGGATGGGAGCAATCCTCGAATGTATTCAATGTCAGAGGTGGTATTGGAATTTCAGTTTGGGGCACCTGCAAGTGTTTGAAAGTGCTTTTCCTGGGAAGGAAAGCACTTAGCCCCAGTGTTTTGGGCACAGATGATAAGCTGCCCAGGGGTGGGAAAAGCAGGCAAGACCTTTTTTTCCTTTTGGTCAGAGGAGTGCTCCTGAATCAGAGAGAAGGAGCTTCCATGGGCCTTTGGGACAAAAGCTGCCCTGTGGGTCGGGGCAGTGCCCTGGAGTCCCAGGCACTTGGCACTCCAGGCAGCATCTTGAGACCCCTGGGAGAGGGGCTGCAGGCTCTGGCTGCTGTTCTGTGTGCCCAGCTGCCTCTCCCAGCCATGCCTCCCTCTGGATAAGGTGAGCCAAGCTAGAGGCAGAGGGAGGGGAGGGGTTGGTGGGGTGGGGGGTCTGCAGGTGACTGGGTTGTGTCCCCTGTCCCTCCATGGCAATCAGTGGATCAGTCTGTGGGCAAAGTCTCAATTCATCTGCAGGTTACAAGTAGAAGAAAATTCAAATGGAAAACCAGGTAATCTGTAGGGGAGAAAATGAACATTCAGAGTTTTAAATCTGAGGTAGGTAGTGGGGGACATAGGAAGTATTTTGAGGTACTATTGAGGCAGAGGACATTTTGGGAGTAAACCCTGAGGGAGTCAGGGCATGTTTTGGGTGTTAAATCTGAGGTAATGCACAGGGGGCAGAAGAAATATTTTGGAGGTAAAGGCTGCAGTAAATTGGGAGGGGGAACAGAGGTGACATTTTTTAAGGAAATGCTGAGGCAATTTAGATGAAAATCAGGTTTTTTTGAGGGGTGAGTGAGGTTATTTAGAGATGAAAAATGAGCCTTGCTGAGGAACAGTCTGATGCAACTCAGAGAAGACAGAGGCAGCAATTTTGGCAGAAAAGCTGGGATAACTTGGAGGGGACAGAGGTGATACTTTTAGCTGAAAACCTGGGGGAATTTAGAGGGGACATAATTCTACAAAGGAAAATGTGATGTGGAGGGGAGAGAGGTTGGATTGTGGAGGGACTAGCTGAGGTGGTTTAGAGGGAATTCCTTACTGGAAAATCTGAGGCACCTCAGAATAGGTGTGGTGGTTAGGGGTCAGCGCTCAGAGCTAACTTTACTTCACTTGTTTGCTTCTTTACTTTGTTAACTTGCTTCCTTTCTAACTGTTCTTTACTTCCCTTTATGGTAACTTCCTCTGCAAACTGCCATGAACAATCCCTTGATCTCTCTCGGAGAAATCCACATGGCAGAGGCAGTTTGCAAAGGAACCCCTGATTCTGGAGGAGAGAGTGCTGACAGCTCTGTGTCTGCCTGTGCTGCCCTGTGGCACTAACCACAGGGAACAGACTGGGCAAATGTTCTTGGATGGAACCAAACCAATTCATTGCAGAGGTTTTCTCATGTGCAAATCAGTCATTGGGCAGGAAGAGAACTTAGGATCAGTCACATCAGCATTAATGACAGGACCTGTGCCCACATGTCATTATCCCCTTAATAAAAATCAAAAGCAAATGTTGATTTCATTTTAAGAACTTCAAATAACTTTAAAACAAAATCAGTCACCTTTTTCATCATTTTGTTTTTCCTTTTAGGTGATGGAATTGTCTCTCTGGATGTGTGCTGAGTTCTTGCTGCAGGGGCTGTCAAGCCTTACTGGCTGCCAGTTCATGTTCTTCCTGGGAAACAAAATATTTAGTAATTAGATTGCAGAAATGTTTCCTGATCCCTTTCCCTTTTGCTGATAGATCTTCTCTCTCTGCCTTTGACTTCACAGCTGTTCCCCGATGTCTATTCACCTGCCTGAATTCCTTGCAGCTCCTGGTTTAGGATTGAACAAAGATTGGAATTTCCTGTTTTTCACTTTGTTGAATGCCCATTAGAGCAAGCCAAGTATTTAAATCCAGTATTTTAATAGGAGTTGAACTCGGCTGATCCTCATGCATCCTTTCCAACTCAGGACATTCTCAGATTCTATCAATATGTTGGGATAATGAGGTGGCATTTTGGAGGGGCAATCTGATGTAATTTAGAGGAGGGGACACAACAGAGACATTTCCTGGAGTGGGGTCCTCCTAAAAAAGGGGAGGTTAAAGCCCAAAATGCCTGAAAATCCATGGGGAGTGTGTGAATACTAGTATATATATTATAGGGTCAGAATTGCTACTGAGAAGGACATTCTCTCTGAGACCAGGGACAGCACCCCAGGGAATGGCATGGAGCTGTGTCAAGGGGTTTGGGATGGATATCAGGACAAGGTTCTTCCCCCAGAGGGTGTTTGGGCCCTGGAACAGGTTTAGGTTAGAGATCAGGACAAGGTTCTTCCCCCAGAGGGTGTTTGGGCCCTGGAACAGGTTTAGGTTAGAGATCAGGACAAGGTTCTTCCCCCAGAGGGTGTTTGGGCCCTGGAACAGGTTTAGGTTAGAGATCAGGAGAAGGTTCTTCCCCCAGAGGTGTTTGGGCACTGAACAGCTCCCCAGGGCAGTGGTCAGAGCCCTAAGGCTGACAGAGTTCCAGGAGTGTTTGGCCAATACTCTCAGGGACAGGGTACATTGTTGGGGTGTCTGTGCATAAAATATATATGTTAATTTGTATATAAATTGATTTCAAAATAGCTGCTATGTTATATACAGGATTGTGGGGTATAAGAAATACAGAATATGGATACACAGGGTTTGAAAATACAAATAGAACTTTTGTATATATCAGTTAAACAGTAAAGGGCTTGAAAATTTAAGAGAAGACAATCTCTCAGAAGGCAATAAAAGCAATTGAGCCAAACGGTTCTCTGTTCGCTG